ACAAAAAAAAAAAAAAAAAAAAACTCTCCAAAAAAAAAAAGTTAATAATTATTTTAAAAATATATTTTGCTTGGAGCCCGACAGGTGGCATGGTGAAGGTGTTGGACTCCCACATGGCTGACCAGGGTTCGAGTCCTGGATCTGGTGGCTTGCCTTCTTACTTTCTTTTACTCTCTCTCTGGTCAAATTTTTAAAAAATTAAAAATAATACATAAAATAATAATACATAAAATGAAATCAATAATTCAATTTTTTGTTATGGAGAGGTTTTTGCTATAGGGTGCATGCACTCGCTACAGAGACAGAGAGACAGAAAGTGAGAAATCACCCCCTAGGGGGGATGGCCACGCCGCAATCCCTTCTCCTCCATTCTCCTCTCGGGATCTTAGGCACGCACGCACATGCGCCCGGTGTGATTTTGAAGCCACCGGGTCTGGGATTCAAACCCCAATCAGCCATGTGTGAGTCCACTGACATAACTGATACGTCATTTGCTGGTCTACCCTGCCCCAGTTCAGGCTTCTTAGTGCGGCATTTTGAGTCAATTTTCCCACCTCTAAGACTTTGTAAGGATGTGTCCTTTCCGGGGACACCAGTATCTTTGTCCATTTTTAAAGTTTATTTATGTATTTATTTACTTACTTTAATTTGACCAGAGAAAGAGAGAGGGAGAGACAGAAAGAGAGAGAGAGAGAAAGCAAGACAGTAAGCCACCAGATCCAGGATTTGAACCATGGTCTACCACCTGGGAGTCCAACACCCTTAACCACCATACCACCTGCTGGCCCCCTTAGTCCATTTTTACATTGCTAATAGAAATACCCAAGAGTGGGTGATTTATAAAGAAACAGAGTGGGCCAGCAGATGGCGTGGTGGTGAAGGTGCTGGACTCCCATGTTGACTATTGTAGTTTGAATCCCAGACCAGGTGGCTTGAAAATCACTCTGGTGGGGAACCCACAGATGGTGTACTGGTTACGTCACTGGACTCCCACACATTTGACTGTGGTTCAAGTCCCAGACCTGGCGGCTTAAAACTCATGCTGGGTGTGTGTGTGTGTGTGTGTGCCTAAATTCCTGAGAGGAAAATAATGGAGAAGGGATTGAAGCGTGGCAATCTCCCTATGGAGGGGACTAGGGTCTGGGACTCGACCCCTGTCAGCTACGTGGGAGTCCAGCCCCCTTAACCACCCTGCCATATCACCTGTTGGCCCCCCCTCTTTATTTTATATAGTCTCCAACCTCTTGTAGGTCTAAGCTTAGACATCACCTCCTCAAGGAAGCCCTCCCGGATTGCCTTCGGTCCGTGACGTTCTCTGTTATTTATTTCCCTTGTCAGGGAAATAAATTTATTTTTTAAAAATTTATTATTTATTTAAAACATTTATTTTTTAAAGAAAATTTTAATTTATCCATTCATTTATTTTAATGTGACCAGAGAGAGAGAGAGAGAGAGAGAGAGACAGAGAGAGAAGCAAAGTGAGAAGGCAAGCCACCAGGACCAGGACTCGAACCATGGTCGGCCCTGTGGGAGTGTCCAGCGCCTTAACCACCATGCCCATTTTACCCTTTAGGGTTATCTCACCAGATCGGAGGCTCTGCAGGGGTCAGGTCCTGGCTGCCGTTGTCTGGGGCAGTGTCAACGTCATACAGTTGAGCCACACAGTTCACGTCGCTTTCTGTGTTTCTGTCTCTTAGGGTCCCCCTGCTATTCCTGGTGGCACCAGAGTTACGGACCCTGAAAAATTAGCTCCAGAACTGGCTGCGTCCTTCTCCCGGTGTGTGCCTGGCTCCTGGTTTTGGGACGAGTGGGCTGGGGTAGGGGGATTGATGAGCAAGCCCGTGGGGGTGTTAAATGCAGGCAAGGCCCAGGTGTACACCTGGGTACAGGTGTGTTCACACGGGAATGCCATGGGGGGGGGTGGGAAGAGAGGAGGAGACAGGATCGGCTGCGGCTGCGAGCCCCCTCTCTCCTAACCCCTGCGCCAGGATCCAGGACCTGCGGAAGCAGCTGCAGTCTCTGCGGGAGAAGCTGGAACAGATGGCTCAGATGGGGCGAGCCCAGAGGGCTCAGAGTGCAGAGCTGAACAGGGATCTGTGCAAGGCTCACAGGTGGGCCCCCCCGGAATCCCCCTGCTCATCTCGGAAGCTCCCCGACTCTCTCTGAGCCTCAGCCTGGCCCCTGCAAGACAGACAGACGGTTCTTTCCTCTCCTGATGTCCACGGCATGTCCAGTTTCTGCTGAGCGATGTCGGGACCCCAGGGAGTCCCAGTCTGAAAGAGCTCCCTATCAGGGGACCAGCAGTTAGCATAGTGGCTATGTCGCTGGACTCCCATGTAGTCGACCGCGGTTTGAATCCCAGAGGCTTAAAACTCACACTGGGCACGGATTCATCTGTGCCTTAAATCTCAAGGGGAGGATAGAAGAGAAGGAATTGCAGTGTGGCCATCTCCCCTTGAGGGTGATTTCTTGTTTTGTCTCTGTCTCTCCAGCAAGTGCATGTGCCCTATAGCAAAACATCTCCCTGGGACCAGCAATTGGCGTAATGGCTATGTCACTGGACTCCCATGTAGTGCACCGCGGTTCGCGTCCCGGACCCGGTGGCTTAAACTCACGCCGGGCGCGTGTGCGTGCGTGCCCAAGATCCCGAGAGGAGAATGGAGGAGAAGGGATTGCAGTGTGGCCATCCCTCGCGGGGGGTGATTTCTCACTTTCTGTCTCTCTGTCTCTCTCTCTCTCTGTCTTTCTGACAAGCGCACGTGCCGCAAAAACCTCTCCAAAAAAAACCCCCTTAAAAAAAAAAAAAAAGAGTTCTCCATCTGGGAATGGGAGGAATGGGAGTAGATTGTCCCTGGTTTGGTTTGGGTGGAGTGCGGGTTGATTCCTGGCTCAGCCATGCGTCTCCTGCAGCGCCCTGGTCCTGGCCTTCCGAGGAGCGCACCGGAAGCAGGAGGAGCAACAGCGGAAGTTGGAGCGGCAGGTGGCTGTCATGGAAGTCCAGCAGGCTAAGGAGCTGGCAGTGCTGGAAGGCAGGGCGAGGTTCCTGGGGAAGCCCCGGCCTCTCTGTTCGCCTCCCCAGTTAGGGGAGACCATCCTTTAGACCCCCATCCCCAGCCCTGTAGGAACGCACGGTCGTAGCAGGTCTGTCATGAGCTATCCTGGAGTGGGACCAGCAGGTGGAGTAACAGTTACGTCACTGGATTCCCATGTAGTCGATGACAGTTCGAGTCCTGGACCCGGAGACTTAAAACACATGGGGCATGGGACCAGCAGTTAGCGTAATGGCTATGTCGCTGGACTCCCATGTAGTTGACCACGGTTCAAGTCCCGGATCCGGTGACTTAAAACACCCCGGTCGCATGTGCATGTGTGTCCAAAATCCAGAGGAGAGAATGGAGAAGGGATTGTGGCATGGCCATTTCCCCTGGGGGGGGGGTTGATTTCTCTCTTTCTGTCTCTCTCTGTCCTTCCGATAAGCACACATGCCCTAGAGTAAAAAATATCTCTCTAAAAAAAAAGGTGGAGGATGGGACCAGCAGGTGACGTGGTGGTTAAGAGTGGTGGACTCCCACTTGGTCAGTAATGGTTCAAGTCCTGGACCTGGCAGCTTCCTTTCTCACTTTCCCTTTCTTTCTTTCTCTCACTCTGTCTCTCTCTGGTCAAATTAAAATACATCAATAAATAACGTTAAATAAAATAATTCTTAAATAAATAAATTGTCCTGGAGTGATTTCTATCACATCGAGTAGCTGTATTTTGGGGCATGCTTAGAGTGACAGGAATTGGTGCATGGGTGTCCAGAGCCTGACAGGGAAAGACTGGACATGTGAGAAAGACTCAGTGTCAAGCCCGGCAGGTGGCGTGGTGGTGAAGGCACAGGATACTCCCACATGGCTGACCAGAGTTCAAGTCCTGATCCTGGTGGCTTGCTTTCTCATTTCCCCCCCTCTTTCC